GAATGGCATGTTCTCATCTTGAAGCCAGCACCTGAATTCTAGAAACTTTTGGACTTTATGTCCCATTATTTAGCAGTCTCAGAAATCAACAGGACTACTCACGGATATGTTTGCAGGTCTTTGTCAACAAAGAAATATAGAGCCAGTAGGATAAGAAGCTGTAAATGTACAAGAATGAAAAAAACACCATATTTCATGTCGCTCTCAAGTTGTGCAAGAAATATAGGGCATGTCAGAAATGCCCATTCCCCCACTAAGTGGAGTCAAGCCACATTTCCTCAGGGAGAGCAACAGAACACAGGTTCAAGGGCACAACCTCTCCCATGTGCTCTATGTTCTGCAGGCTGATATAGAGGGTGAATGGTGAGGGGGAGGCATTGCTTGCTTTGTCCTCTTGCTTCACCTAGTGATTTGTTTCCAGGAGGAAGCAAGAGCAGAACAATCTTTGATTATAGGGACAGTTACTGTTTGTCTGGGTATAGGTTATACAGGCTGGGAGGGATGCAGTGTATGTCCACCCCAGAGCAAATCACAGTCTAGTCCCAGTGCCAGATTTGTCTATGAGAAAACATGAAACATGCTAGCAGGACATATGGTGGTGCAAAGGCTTGTGTTTTCAGGGAGTTGAGAGCGTGATTGATGACCACACTTGTCAATTGTATCTTTATAGTCCTAGTATAATGTGCAAAGATCTTGGTGGCACAGAGAGCAAGGACACTATTTGCCTCTGCAACTCCTTCGAGTCCTTTTTTGGTCACAGTTGATACAAGTTTGAAGCCTCAATCTCCTTTCATTGTGTATTTACCTGAAAATACAAAATATTACTTTAATCTGACCTGATTGACAGTCTGCTCTATTGATGTTCAAGCATTTGCAGAGCTTACCCAGCACCTGGTCAGTCCTACATTTCTGTGAGCATGACATTCTCTCAGATCTTATAAAGGAATGTTTATAAGCAATCAGCAAATCCCAAATCACGTGGTGCAAGCCAGACATTCATTTAGTAGCACAGACAAGAGGGGTGGGAAGGAGTCAGATTTTACTTTATTGCTTCCTTTGGCTGTTAACTACTGTATTTGCAAATATCAGACTTGATCCTATTGTCTTCTCTGACACAACTCCCATTGATTTCATTAAGTGTTTAGACTGTAGAAGAGGGATTATCAAACTCCTTCTTTATATATGTGCAGTGATTGAGCTATGGAATGTAAATAGTGACTTAGTCATATGATGGTGATGCCTTTTTTCTGATCCAGGTTATAAAAGTGAACTTTAGAATTCTAAACTCAGATCTATCTACTGAGATGGAACCAAATATAGGAATGACACTGAAGACACAAAACTATGTGAGCCAATTTTGAACAGAGATTCCGCGATAGTGGTGCAAACTGGAATTACAAATTCTGAGTTTGCATTTTAGCTTTTGATAAATCTCATTCACCCTGAAATACCCGAGACAAATCTGCTTTATGCTGGGCATGACCAATGTGGAATTTAGAGGAAGGAGTCCATCTGCCTACTAGAAGCAGCATCTCTCCCTACCACTACAAAGAGGTTAGATTGACTCCCTATACCAGGCAGCACATTGTGGGTCCAATTCTGTTTCACGAGGCATACCGGAGCAGTCGTCAAAGGCTTCCCTTGTCGACCGCAGTGTGTCTAGGCTGCCCCACTGTGCCGGATCTGCTGATCGTAGGCGCAGCATAGCGGCCATTTTTATTTAATGGAGCAGGGATTATTTAAATCCCCGCTTCTTTGCCTATGCCGAATAAACTATATTACATGGCTCCATCGACGGAGCCATGTAGTCTAGACATAGCCCGTGAGTCTAACGCCAGCCCTGCATGGCAGACACCCTGAAACCTGCTCACTGCCCCCCAGGAGACCCACAGTTAAGCACTGCTGGTATAGATAGTTATGGGACAGAGGTGAAGAGAAGGGAGGTAGGTTGTGATTAGGTATGAGAAAAGGTATGTTTTCAAACTCTCATACAATTCTGGCAAGAAACTGAAATGGTTCTGAGCCCTAGTCTCTCAACCCAACTTGGTTTAATTAATACTTCTATCACATGACAGGTGGGAATGTACAGCTATATAGCCACAGCCTCCCTTAGCTACTATTATATAGTGCTGATAATACTTCTGTGGTTTTAGAAAGAAGCCATTTAAGATGTAACTATCACTATTGCTGGCTGGGTGTATGCAAAGTGAGTCATATTCTGTGCTCCAGTGAAAAAATCTGACATCTGAAATCCCTTTACTAACATAATTTTACTCTTATTCTCTGTGATTGGAATGTATAGCTAATATGTTGAGTATAAATTTCATCTGGAATAAGTACAAAACACTGGAAGGAAAAATACCTTGGTTTAAGAAAATCTGGTGATGAAGGAAGGAAAAATTTGCCTCACCAAAAAACCCAACACTGGGAAATATTTTTAAATGTCCATTTTTTCCTGGAATGCACAGATAACTCCAATAGCCAACCCCTCAGTAATGCTAATCGGAACTAATTAGTAGTAAATAATGATTGTGTGCCCTCACTGATGCGTCACATTAATTTTAGTGCCCTAAGATTTCAGGGCAATTTCATAGTAGTTTACATTGGAATAATAAAGATTAAAGTCAGGGTCATGTTTTAAGTGAATAACCATTTTGCAATAGTTTGAGAGGTGGAAAAAAATGAAAAACTTTGCTGGTCATATTAATGTTAATATTTTAAGCTCTTACGATGTTATACAACTGGCACAGTGTGTGCTAGTAATTTAAAGAATAACAAACAGGCTTTTATCCTAGTCAAAATTATAAGAACAGGTGCAACTTTAAGTATCGTAGCATAAGCATGTCACTGGAATGCATTGTTTAGCAATATGTTTTTCATGGTAAACTTACTACTTCGGCAGCACAGATGATGATTATTTATCTTGGTTGCCAAAAGTCTAACTTACTACTTCGGCAGCACAGATGATGATTATTTGTCTTGGTTGGATGATTATTTGTCTTGGGGGTATGTCTACACTATAAAGTTAATTCAAACCAACAGCCGTTAGTTCAAATTAACTTTCATAGCCTCTAGACATACAAACCGCTAGTTCGAACATAATTGAACTAGTGGAGCGCTTAATTTGAACTAGGTAAACCTCATTCTACGAGGACTAACGCCTAGTTCGAATTAACTAGTTCGAATTAAGGGCTGTGTAGCCACTTAATTCGAACTAGTGGGAGGCTAGCCCTTCCCAGCTTTCTCTGGTGGCCACTCTGGGCACCACCAGGGAAACACTTCTGCCCCCCTCCCAGACCCGGAGCCCTCAAAGGGGCACGGACTGGCT